CCAGCACCACAGTCCAAAAGCATCAATTCTTCAGCACTCAGTCTTATTTATGGTCCAACTCTCACATCTGTATACAGGACTACTGAAAAACCAAAGCTTTGACTATACAGACCTTTGTCAGCAAAGTGATGTCTGTGTTTTTTAATAATGCTGTCTAGGTTTGTTGTAGCTTTTCTTCCATGGAGCAAGTGATAGAAATAAGAAAAAAAGTATTTCTTTGGTATCCATGCCTCCAAAAAAATGTAGAAAAAGAAAAAAACTGGGAGAGCCAATTATTTCTTACCTCTAGTAAGCTGCTCTACTTACTTATATTATTTGCCTGGCCCTTTCTTTCTTTTTTTTCTATGTGTATATACATATATGAATATATATTTTTATTTGAATTTAAGCAATTTCTACTGTTCCTTATATACACCCAAGCCTATCTAAATTCTGGGAATCGTTAACTTATTGACCTCACTGGGCCTCACTTCTAGCATTGTCTTATTGTTTGGGGGCATGTCTCTTGCTCTTGTTACATGATGTTGTTGCTAAACAAGCCTACTTGGTTTTGTTGTTAAGCAAGTCTGCTTCCTTGAGTTATCATTAACTTACAGGAGTCTCCTATACCTTTTATTCCCCCAGTGGGACTAGCTATTTAATCACCTACTTCGTCCGTTTACTCATTCCCTATCACTATTCTTCCCATTCTGTAGCTCTAGAAGCTGAGGCTAGGGGGAGGAACAGTAACTGTTGTCACTCACTGGAATAACATACATGAATGTAGGTTCATCTGAAGCTCATATCTTTGTTCTTTGTCATTGGGTTATACTTTATGAAATTATATTTTCTTAGAGGGAAAAAAGATTTGAAACTGCATTGGTAGTGAATAGTATTCTTTTCGGTAAAAACAATGTTGTCAGGATCTTCTCCAGGTTCAGGTCCAAACCTGAGATAGAATAGGTTTCAGAGGCTTTACAGGCTTTACAGATAAGTCACTGGACCTGGATCTACAGAATCTCATTATCCTGAAAAAAAAAAACAAATGCAGTTTTCTGGCCAGATCTCTGATGTCAGATTCTCTGATGCCTCAGAGGTAAAGAATCTGCCTGCCATGCAGGAGACCCGCTGAAACACAGGAGTGTGTGTGCTAGGTGCTCAGTCTTGTCCGACTCTGTGTGCTCCTATGGACTGTAGAACACCCAGGCTCCTCTGTCCATGGGATTCTCCAAGCAAGAATGCTGGAGCGGGTTGTCATTTCCTTCTCCAGGGGATCTTCCCCACCCAGGGATCAAACTCAAATCTCTTACATCTCCTACATGGGCTGGCAGGTTCTTTACCACTACCACCACCTGAGAAGCCCTTATTACAGGAGATGTGGGTCAATCCCTGGGTCAGGAAGATGCCCTGGAGAAGGAAATGGCAGCCTACTCCAGTGTTCTTGCCTGGGAAATCTAATGGACAGGGGAACCTGGCGGGTTACAATCCATGGAGGTCTCAATAGTTGGACATGACTTAGCAACTAAACCACTGACCACCACCATGTAACTTTCTGGATAAGTAAGAATTTAGCTAGCATGATCATTCATGTATTCTTAGTGGTTCCCTGAAGATTTTCCCCTCCTTGCAATTTTTTTTTTAAAAGAAGAGGTAGGTTTATGAGGCATGCATTATGGGACTATTGCATTCATTTTGCCATTTATTTTAAAACTACATCTACATTTCAAAAAATTCTGTAAGAGGACCACACAGAAGTAAATTAATGTACTAATTTAATGTTTTTTTCATTTATCTTTATTAGTTGGAGGCTAATTACTTTACAATATTGTAGTGGTTTTTGCCATACATAATTTAATGTTTTTAAATTGCTAGGGTTTTGTATTTTTCTGGCTAAAACTAGCAGAGTTTATGGTGGTCGTGAAAAATTTTATTAATGAAGCTTACTAGTTTTCTCTTATACAACATTCTATTTCCCGATTAATTTTGGGAGTGTGCTACCAGACACATTCATTTGTGTCTATATGTCTGGTTTATTATGTTTAGTATAGATTTAAGAAATTTAAAATGTTACCCAGCAATTGCGGATATTTTTGCTATTCATTAACACATTCAACAAAAATATTTTTGTACCTACAATATATATACAAGGAACTTACTAGACACCAAAAGCATGTTAAAATAATTACCAGGAAAAAAAAAAAAAGATAATTACAGAGCTTAGAAGTCACCAAACATAAGTTTAAATGACTTACAATTTTCTTCCTCTGACCATGTTTACACAAAGGAAGCATAGACAATATGTTTCTAAGCTGACTTTTCAAGGTCTCATGTTCATTCTTCACAGTCTGGAGACAGCTGAAGGAAACAAAAATATTTTTTTTCATTTATTTTTATTACAAAAATATTTTTAAACAGCAGCCTTCTCTGTCAGACCAGGTCAGATCCCATCGGCCAAAATTTTCAGCAGAAAGACTTTGTTCTGTAACTTTAAAATTCAGGATAAAAACACACCTAAAAAGATTTCTGAGTAGAAGAGGGCTGGAGGCAAGAAAAGAGGAGAAAGAAAATAATCTCCATAACATTCCTACCTTCCAGAAAGGACTTAATTCTTTTCTCTAGGCTTCTCTCTTGTGCCTGCTTCTCTTTGCAGGTTAAGCTGCCAGCATGAGGTCTCTCTGGCCAGCTCCACCCCGTCCCCACCCCCCTACCCCTTGTCTTCCTTTCTCCACCTGGAAAGCATTTGCCCAGAGCTGAGAGGCTGAAGCTCCCTTTAAAGATGCCACTGCTTCAAAGGGTATTCATCCTTCTTGCTGATCCTCTTTTCCTCCAGTAGAATATGTATCACTTTCCATAACATTTTCATCCAAAAATATCCTATCTGCTCAAAATCATGCTATTTATTCCAGCAGCCTCTGTCCCCAAGTACAACAAATGCTTCTGCCTAACAATATTTTGCTTTGAGAGTTTTCTTCTTTCACCCAGGCATTTGTGGGCATATGCATTTGTGTTTCAGGTACTTTCTGTGTTAGGGCTTCCCTGTCGGCTCAGCAGTAAAGCATCCTCCTGCCAATGCAGGAGACTCGGGTTTGACCCCTGTGTCGGGAAGATCTCCTGGAGAAGAAAATGGCAACCCACTCCAGTATTCTTGCCTGGGAAATCCCAAGGACAGAGGAGCCTGGCGGTCTACAGTCCACGGGGTCGCAAAAAGTCGGACGTGACTTAGGGAGTAAACAACAACAGCAGCAACAAATTTTTTTCTATCAAGCTGTGCTTGCATCTGAAAGAGCAAACGAAATTAGATTGGTACAATCTTTCTATCTAATTTGAGATGGGTTTTCTACAGAGTTTTGCCCCCGGATCTTTTTTTTTTTCGTATTTATTTATTTGGCTGCTCTGGGTCTTAGTTCCTGCTTCTGAACTCTTAGTTGTGGCATGTGGGATCTAGTTCCCTGACTGGGAATCGAACTCAGTCAACTGCATTGGGAGTATGGAGTCTTAGCCATGGGACCACCAGGGAAGTCCCTGACTCTGTATTTTTAACTGTTTTCTATTTACCACACCTCCCCACAATATGGAATAAATCTAAACCTATTTCCTTGGTCTCACATAGGGTGTCACAGAGAGTATCGAGTAAATGTTTGTGGACTCCTTCATCTGAGAGTTTATTACCCTTTTCTATGTCTAGACAGGGCAGAAGAGGAAACCGGCTTGATCAGTAAGAGATTTAGGTTAAATATTAGAAACAGCTTGAATTTTGAAAGGTCTTGGCAGAAGGAGGTTGTGGAGGCTTCCTTGAAGGTCTTTAGAAAGGCGGGGGAAACTAATCTTGATAGACAGCTTCAGCCACTCCATTCAGGAGCAGAGAAGGAGTCAGTTCAGTGAGTCAGTTCAATGACTGTACCTCTGGAAACAGAGTCTCAGTCCATGCTTGGACAGGAAAATCATTGTCTCTGTAAAAAAAAAAAAAAGCTACTATTTATTGGGTACAAAGCACTTATGTCCATTTCATCCAAATGCAATAACAATCCTTCAAGGTAGATATTATTGTCATCCCCATGAGGGGACTGACACATACTGGATTAAATGACTTGCCCAAAGTCATAAAACTGGTAGGTGGTAGAAAAGGGACTGAAATCCAGATCGCCTCAGATCCCAAAGGCTGTGCCCTAGTCGTTACATGGTATAGACTCCTTTCAGGAGCAGTCATGTCAGTGTATTTGCCATGGGCAACCTTATATTTATGGAGAATATGGGATATGAACATTTGTAGCTTCAGAAATGGGAAAGACAACTTATGGCACTTACCTGAATTCATTTCTTTATTTAACTTGGGTCACAGTTTTCTATACAGTAAATTCTCACTAAATACTTGTTAACTGACTCCCCAAATCTAAACATGTGATTTTAAGATACAGAGAAAAGCCCAGTGCAAATCATTACTAAGCCAGCACTTATCGACAGTATCAGGATTTAGGACTATAATTTGCCTTGTGCAATGAGTAGACATTACTTTACAGATACTTTGCAGTGATGTTTTCCAGTTAGTTTACTGTTTCTTTCAAGAGGGAGATTAACCAGCATCCAGTTTAAAAGATTGTAGGATCTATTGGAGGAGTTAATCTGGCAACTTTGGGTTATGTTATCTTTGGAAATATTTTGTGCTTCTAGAAATTAAATCAGAATCAGATAAGACTGACAGATGAAGTCCATACATTGCCTATTACGTATTCCTAATTTCTCTGTGTTTTGCTATTGGTTTCTTTATTGACTTTTCATCTCTTTCTTTAGGGGAAGTTAAATTAGTAGCACTGTAGATGTTTAACTGCATAGGAAATAACTGAACAAATGAACTGGAATTACACATTAAACAAATGCTAAAGTCTTTGGGTAGTGTAATTAAGTCAAATAAGTCTCTACCCAAATCTGAGAAAAATAATCGCCAGGTAAATAGTTTAAAAACACTTCGTGCTAAAAAGAGTAGAAACTAATAATCATTATCTTGCTTTTGAAAATATTGACAGTGGCCTTGGAAGGGATTTGGAGCATTAAAAGGAACCTCGCTGTGGGAGGCTTGAAGCCAGGACTGCCAAGCAGGAACAGTTTACTGCCACAAGCCAAGTACTATTCGAGGCACGGAGGCCTGAGAAGTAAGATCCTGATACCCTTGATTTCCCCCTGCTCACTGGTGGCTCAGATGGTAAAGAATCTGTCTGTAGTGTGGGAGATCTGAGTTCGATCCCAGGGTCGGAAAGATCCTCTGGAGAAGGGCATGGCAACCCACTCCAGTATTCTTGCCTGGAGAATTCTGGCAAGGTACAGTCCATGGGATCACAAAGAGTTGGACAGGACTGAGCAACTAACACTTTCTTTCTTTCATACTTGATTTCCAAGCCTAGTGTGGAAGGTGCTATTGCTATGCTATGCTAAGTCACTTCAGTTATGTCCGACTGTTTGCAACCCCATGGACTGTAGTCCACCAGGCTCCTCTGTCCAAAGGGTTCTCCAGGCAAGAATATTGGGGTGGGTTGCCATTCCCTCCTCCAGGGGATCTTTCCAACCCAGGGATGAAACCTGCGTCTGATGACTCCTGCATTGGCGGGAAGGTTCTTTACCACTAGTGCTGAGCAGTTTATAAGCCAGTGATGTACTTCATTTATAGTTCTCAGTCAAAATCCAATCTTCTTTTGATTTGCTTCTCCCAGGTCACTTGTAGTTTAGCAGTTCAATACGTTGCCTCATTGTGGAACTTGAACAGCTACAGTTCAGGGAACCAATTTACCCCATGAACACAATAGATGTTCACACTCCTGAGTTACACCGACTCTTTTTATCCATGGTACACTTTGCAGCCCACAGGCTCAGTGGGTAGGAATCTTGCACTGTCCTTTTCTTGTAGATGGATGATCTGTGTTTACTAGTGGCAATGAGGAAAGAGAGATGAGGAAATTCAGGAAGAATAAGGTAACTGCTTTGCTCAGTTCCCTGAGTTTTACCTTATTTAGGTAGGAGGCCAACAGGCTGGCCCCAGGACACTGTTCTCCACAGACAGTATGTTTGGGGAAAAAAGTATTACTCATTCCTCACTCTCCCCGCCAGCGTCTGCCAGAAATATTTGTGGCAGGATGTGGAGAAGGCAGGGATTCTCAGATGGGGGCATAAGCAGTGTCCAGATAGTGGAGGGACATGCAGTTAGGTCCTGAAGACAGCTCTACATTGAGAGGGAACCCTGGGCTGAGAAGAGAGAAGTGGGTAAGTGCCAAGCTTGGGTACTCTTTACCTAAATGTGAATCATACTGGCAAGTGCCATGGAGCGCTTCATATTCTAGACCCTTTTCATGTAATTATCTATTAAATCTTCACAACAATCACATGAAGCAGGTACAGTTCATTTCACAGATGAGGAAACTGAGGCCTAGAAAGCTTTAAATAATTTACCCAAGTCAGTCAGCTAGCGAGAAGCAATGTCTAGACACCACCAGCCCTTTGAGCCAGCAGTGCATAGGAGCTGGGCTGTCCGCTGGGCCTGGAGGCAGGTGAGGGCTCAGCCCAACTGCCACAAAAGAAGGGGCTCCCAGGGAGGTGGCCTCTGGAATACGGATCTGGTAGGAGGAAAATACAACCACTAAAGACTGACACACAAGGTGAAAAGATAAACAAAAACTTGTTACCTAAGGGATTCACGTAGCAAAAAGGAACCAGTAATGGAGACCTAGGTTTAGTAATAATAACATAGTCGTAACCACCATTTACCATGTGCCAGGCATGGCAGTGGGTGTTTTATAGTTATGTAATCTGCAGTGTCACACAAGATGAGGGTTTTAGTCTCCATTTTCCAGGTGAGAAAACTGAGGCTTGGAGACTTTTGCATTCCCCAACTTCCTATGTCTAGAGGGTAGTGAGGCCAGAACTACAAGCCCATGTCTATCTAACTTTCAACACTATGCTTCAGCCTCTGTGAAACCATGATAGAGAAATTCACACATTGGACACCAAAGGTGGAATACTAGCGGTTAAACAGGCTCAAATGCCATAGGAATGCAGGGTTAGGAACCTGGGAGGCAACTGAATGCAAAATCCACAAAGATGTGAATGGCCTAAAGTAATGGTTGTTCAACCGAAGTCTGGGACACTTGCCCAGTAGGGACTGTTTATTTCAACTTTCCACCCAGTTAGTCAGGTCCCAACTCTAGAGAGTAAATCCAACATTCCTATAAAACTCAGAAAGCAATTTATTTTAAAGGTGATTTTCTAAAGGTCATATTATAAGACTGGTTTGAAGAACAAGTTACCTTCAGCTTAAGACCCAGAAGTGCAACAGATTCCCTGACTTATCAATTAAGGGCATATAATAAAAAAACATATGTTTGATTTTGACTATAATTACAATACTTTCACTCATACAGTTTAGGAGAAACTTGTTCACAGCTCCCAGTCACTGATGCTCATCCACACTACCTTCCTAGCAGCCCTCAGCCCTCTATCTCCAGCCCAATGTTAAGATCTTGCAGTGATCATGTTACAGTAACTGTTATTGTTGAAAGTCTCAGCTTCAACTCTATAAGTTACCAGCTGCATTTTGCCATCTAAAATGCTTCTATCTGCTATACAAATCATAGCTGATGAATCCATAGGAATCGGTTGATAACTGACAGCTAAGAATCACTATCTATAATGCAGTGATCACTGTAGCTGTGACTCCTCCAACATGCAACACACGTCATTTAAAATTAGAATCCTTTTTAGTTCTAGAATCAACTGTAGTTCTAAATTCTAAAACACAAGTTAGACAAGAATACTGAACCCAGAAAGACTCCTGTTCAGATTTGATGGAGAAACCAAAAGCTTTCCAGACAAGCAAAAGTTAAGAGAATTCAGCACCACCAAACCAGCTTTACAACAAATGCTAAAGGAACTTCTCTAGGCAGGAAACACAAGAGAAGAAAAAGACCTTAAAAAAAATAAATAAACCAAAAGCAATGAATAGTAATAGGATCATACATATCGAAAATTACCTTAAGTGTAAATGAATTAGATGCACCAACCAAAAGTCATAGATTGGATGAAAATGTGTGCATTATGCATGTCCACCTACAACGTCACTCTACTTAACTCCCCAAATTGTACATAATTATGTTAAATTGTTAGATTAATCATGTTTCCATTATGGCTTGCAATTGAAATTATCTTTTATTTTTTTGTCTGGCTGTTGATTGTGAAAACTGATAAACATCTTTTACTACTGTGATTATGGAACTATTATTCATTTTAATACCATTGTATCATGACTGGTCAACAGAAAATAATAGAATTCTATATCACTAAAAACTACCATTTAATTAAAAAAATAAAACCTGTAATCACCTTTTAAAATCCAAAAGCACATTAGAATTATCTTGGAATTTTTGGAAAAATACAAATGCCCAGGTACTGGTTTTTTCTCTGAAGTTGCAGATTCGATTCTAATGAGCAGCCATGTTTAAAAACAACTGGACTCTATGATGATCTTTTACTTTTATCTAGTTTGTTTTTCTCTTTATATTTCAATTCAGTGCTTTCATTTAGTTTATGTTTTCCAATTTGTCTCTTTTTTGTTGTTGTTCTTTCTCAAGCCTTTATCAAATGTAGTAGAAAACCTTCTGTATACATATGTATATAAATGGAACTTCCCAGGTAACTCAAATAGTAAGGTTTCTGCCTGTAATGCAGAAGACCTAGGTTTGATCCCTGGATGGGGAAAATCCCCTGGAGAAGGGCATGGCAACCCACTCTGGTATTTTTGCCTGGAGAATTCCATGGACAGAGGAGCCTGGTGGGGTCTCAAAGAGGGGGCCCATGGGGTCTCAAAGAGTTGGGCACAACTGAGCAACTTACACACACACTCACACACACACACACATATAAATAATATATATAATATGTATATTATAATATATATATTTTTAAAGATATAAACTTTTATATGCTTAAAATAGCTCAAGAAGGACCTAAGAAACTCGTTACAGAAGTTGTCTCTAGGGAGGGGAAAGACACTAGAGGAGAGACCTAAAAACTGAAGCATAATATACATACAAATAAGTTCACATATTGTAGTTGTCCAGCTCAGTTTTCACAAACTGAGCACATCTGAGTAACCAGCACTTAGAACAGGAATCAGAATCTTATCAGCATCCCAAAAGCAAAATGGGTAACCCTCTATCATGATTTTTTTGTGTGGGGGGGGCTGTGTTGAGTCTTCATTGCCGTGTGGGCTTTCTCTAGCTGTGGAGAGTAGGGGCCACTCTCTTGTTGCAGTACTTGGGCCTCTCATTGCAGTGGCCTCCCTTGTTGCAGAGCATGGTTTCCAGGGCTCATAGGCTTCAGTAGTTGTTGCTCTCGGGCTCAGGAGCTGTGGTCCACACACTTAGTTGCTTCATGGCAACTAAGGGATCAGGGATTCCCTTCCTGGACCAGGGATCAAACCCATGTTTCCTGCATTGGCAGGTGGATTCTTCACCACTGAACCACCAGGAAACCCACTTCTCTTGTTTATATTCTGTTTTTTGGGTTTTTTTTTTTTTTTTTTTTTTGCCATGAGGCCTGTGGGATAGTTTGAGGTTTTAATTATGTGTCTTCGTGATGGTCTCTTTGCGTACATCTTGTTTGAGACTCAGTGCTTCCTGGACTTGTTGGACTGGTTCTTTTGCCAGATTAGGGATGCTTTCAGCCATTATCTCTTAAAATAGGTTTTCTGTCCCTTTCTCTTTCTTGTTCTGGGACCTCTTTTATGTGAATGTTCCTCCCCTTGATGTTCCCTCAGTGATCCCTTTACTATCCTCACTTTTGTCTTCTTTTCTTTCATAATTGAGATTTTACTGGTTGTTTTGAGGATCAGGACACAGACATTTCAATTTGTACACAATTCTTAATACACATACCAAAAAATCATGTAATTGTGATTCTTTCTGAACAGTTTATTCCAGTGACTTTCCAGCTGAAAAGGTGGAGGCAAATTTTCCTTAACAGTATACAGGTACCAATATATTCAAATGTTGATGTGCTGTTATATCATAAGTCCCACTAATTCACAGTCGGATATTATATACAATACCTACTCAAGTTTTTCAAGTTTTCGATGAGTTCACAGCACATTAACAAAGTTTCTAGGAAA